CATTATTCTAGGAATAGAATAAAAGAGGAAACGAGAAAGTATTGATTCAGCCCGCATTTGCTCACTTGCAGACATGGGGACATATTGGTCCCCTCTGGTCCCACTTTTGGTCTTCCATGATAAATATCACTTTGGGTGTTTTAAAGATAATTAATGGAAGTTTTTGTATTGAATTACTTTTCTTTGCACATACCCTGGAATCAGGCTGATTTTCCTTCCTTGTATATCCATAATAATTAAAAAAAAAAGAACAATACAGCTCCACAGACCCTCATCAATTTCAAATTTTGAAAAGACCAGCTCCCATTTTTGTGTATTACTTTCACTTATGACTGTCTCTTTGATACACATTTTTTAAACCATCAAAATTTTCTCCTAAGAGAAAGGCAACTCCCACACACAAATGCTCGTCTTCCACAGGAATTGGCTTCTGAAGTTTTATCAATAGATAAAAAGTGTTTTCCTCCTCTAAAGGAAGCCCAATTCTCAGGGAGCAGTTGAGAGACATATTTTATTTTGAGAAAGTTATTTCATTCTTGTGTGTAGATTTCAGCTTCAGTTGTAGCAGAGTTAGACAAGGTCATCTACTTTCTTTTTAATGGGGAAAATTGTGGATGAATTGCCGGGAGGAGGGCTATGGAAATGACCAACCGTGCCTGTTAACCTACCTGGTTGTGGAAGAAATCTTCTGAATATTTCTGCAGGGTGCTCCTTTTCAATGACTCCCTGGGCTAGCAAGTGTATACACATATGTGATATAGGCCTTTATATAGTTGAGTCTCCATTCCTTAGAGAGTAAATTGTAATGTTCCCCAGACATGACTGCCCCAGGGTCACAGACCCTCCAGAGTGCAACTGTGATTAGAAATTTTCAATTAGAAAAAGATTACCTTATACAAACAAAGGTAATATCAGGTCTTATTTCAAATAGAATGATCTCATCACAAAATCACTAGTTCTTGGTTATGAATGTCCAATTTAATTTGTATAAACAAGACAAAGAAAAGCAAAAACAAATGGCAAAAATTTTAAATATCACAAACACTTCTAATATTTTGTCACCATTTGTTTATTTTTGTCCCTTCCTTTTCCTTTGATCTTCTTAGTCAGAAGGATTCTGATTTAATCTTTTGTTTTACCATTTCCTAACAGAGTGTATTTTATACCTAGAAGTTATAAATTTTTAAGCAGACAGATATATTTATTTTTTCTTTGCTCAGTATAGACATGAAGACAATAACAAATCCTCTTTATCTGCATCCTAATGACTTGATAAACAAATGAGAAGCAATAGGATATATTGGAGTATATGAGCAAGACATTTGGTGTAAAACAAAATTGGCCTGACCTTGTTTCTCCAAAAGGGCCTGATGAGGCCGTTGAGTATGCATTGTATATCTGCTTTAAGCATTTACTATGTCCCAAAGACAAGAATAATGCCCTTAAAGAAAAAGATGTAACTTCCGCCATATTGGAATTTCCTTAAGGATCAGCATCTCACTCTAAACTAAGGATTAATTGCTTGCCTGCCTCACTCACCCTGTGACTACCCAGCTCGAGACCACAGACCAGCTACCTGCTGTGTTCATCAATTGTTGTGTGAATCGCTGTACTGGCTAGGCAATCTCTTGACTATTGTAAACGGGCATTCCAATCATGTGTGATACATGCTCTTTGACGGTGTATAACCACCCTGTACACCCCACTTCTTTGGAGTGCTCTATTCCTTTGTGAAAGAACTCTACAAGGCTATATGGTCCTCAGATCTGGCTCATAATGAAATAACCCTAATTTTGATTCAGTTTGCTTATGGACTATTTGTGTCAAGAAAGTTAAGATTTAACTTTTTAAAATCACTTGGTATTAATTTGTTGTACGATCTGAGGCAAGGATCTAATCTATTTGTTTGTCCAAATAGCTAATTCCTCTGATATTATTATTTTTTTTT